ACCCCACTCCTAATAATTCGATCAATTCATAATACAGCCGATTAGTAAGTGTTGTCATGCAAATAGAACATGCCGATTCGTTTGCGTGACAAACCTTACTAGTTGGCTGTGTCGGGTGGTGGCGGGTTTAACGACACGTTTATATTTGCGCCTAACGTGTTAATTCGATCAATTGTTGCAATTCATGGTCGCGACTTCTATTTAAGTACAGTCATCAACTCTTTTGCTTGATGATTTGAGTTAATGACAGCGCCTCAAGCGTCTGCGGGGGTGACATGAACCCAATCCACACAACGTACATGAATGGAAACACAATGAACATTCACCGATTATCTTCTTGGTTTTTTCGGTAAAGTCACGTAGAAGGGAAATACTAAAATAAGAAAAAATAAAACGTAATAAAATAAAATTCTCACGACGTTTCGGTCACAACACAAGCAGCCGTCCTCAGGTGAAGAAACAGAGTTGTCGGAAAGACAGCGCTCCAATGAACACTGCTAAGCTTGGCAGCGTATTTAAGCTGGGGTGGGAGGAGAAGAGCGCCTTGACAAAGGAGTTTACATATCAACAGAAGAATTTAGCATTGAATAAGCTGTGTTAATGTGAGATAAAAAATCACCATATCAACAGAAGAGTTTAGCATTGAATAATCTGTGTTAATGTGAGAGAAAATTTCACCATATCAACAGAAGAATTTAGCATTGAATAAGCTGTGTTAATGTGAGATAAAAATTCACCATATCAACAGAAGAATTTAGCATTTGAATAAGCTGTGTTTATGTGAGAGAAAAATTCACCATATCAACAGAAGAGTTTAGCATTGAATAAGCTGTGTTAATGTAAGAGAAAAATTCACCATATCAACAGAAGAATTTTGCATTGAATAAGCTGTGTTTATGTGAGAGAAAAATTCACCATATCAACAGAAGAATTTTGAAATTGAATAATCTGTGTTAATGTGGGAGAAAAAAATCACCATATCAACAGAAGAATTTAGCATTGAATAAGCTGTGTTAATGTAAGAGAAAATTTCACCATATCAACAGAATAATGTAGCATTGAATAAGCTGTGTTAATGTGAGATAAAAAAAAAATCCACCGATTAATCAATGCGTCCCGGACGTTCGAGTGGACGACGACTGCATCGTAAGCCACGGGGTCAGAATCCAGGGCGCGACTGCAGGCCCCCAAAAAGACGAGAACAACAAAACGATGGTTCTAGATTTGAAGCTTTCGTGACTGCAAGGATTCATATAAGGGATTACATCTTGAATCATTGCCTCACTTGATACAGCTGATTCGGCTGTGACGGTCCCACCTTATGACGGAGACTTGTGTTGCCTCCGAAACGTCGTGATTTTTTGTTTTATTTTATTTTATTTTCATTAATTTTGATGTTTTTACCTACGTGACTTTACCGAAAAAACCTAAGAATAACAAAACGATGGCTGTCTGCGCCACCCGTCTGGCTGACGGTCACTGATGTTGGCCGAGATTATTATTATCATCATCCGCGCTCCTGTTGGGCGAAGTGAAGTCACCCGTTCCTCGGTTTCTGAATCATCGCCACCCGCGCCTCGTACTGCAACGATCGGCAATAGTGTGATCGCCTCTCTTGCACAATGGGAAATTATTGCGCAATCTTTGGCGGAGACGACTTTTAAACAACTTTTATTGCCGCCAGCAGCAACAGCACTGGATGCGATTCCGATATGAAATACACAAAGTCACCAGCAAACAAACAGACGCTATAAATCCACGCGCTGTGGCGCTAAATGCAGCGCGCACAACACGAAAGAAAAGTCACGTGGTGGGAGAGAGCCCAGCGAAATTCATAATAAAAAAAAACCCGGACGACTTTGCCGCAGCGTCTCGAGAAGAATCTCCTCCATAATTATTGTAGCCCGCGAGGTGGGCAGATGGCGGTGCGAAGAAATGGATTCTTGAATCCATCTGTGGTGGAGATTTGCGTGTAAACTCGCTCGTGCGCGTGCGTTGGATCGGTGGAGACATCCCGACCCAGGGGACACACCACCAGAGGGATACGAATCTTACGACTCTGTGAGAATTTTGCACGTGCAAATAAATGCAAGGCGTTATTAAGCAAAGAGCCTCTCGTAATTTAAATGTTGAATTACCCCGTTCAATGTTTGTCTACTTGAGATTGAATGCACGCATTAAAAAGCACAGCTTTTATGGGTACACATAAGCGCGTTCAACCGACAACTCTCTTGTGTAAATAACTAGCACGACTCTATTATTAGCACCAAAAAAGTGTTGTCAGCCGCACTGAAGCAAACGCAGCGCGGTTCGCACTGCGTTACGACACGCTGAACTTCATTCGAACCGTGCATAGCCCACCGTGCTCATCGGACGTGCGAAAGTTTCGGGCCGTCTTCTCGGACCTCCCCCCCCCCACTCCCCCCGGTCCCTCTGCCCTGACGCGACACCCTCCTAGACGCACACATTTGCTGTCCTGGCCAAAAAAAATAATCTGTTGCATTGCTCGTGGAGTTGACCTTCACGTCTTGTCTGTTGCAGCCTTGCAGACATCAACGGAACCCGTTGCCGCAGGTCAAAAGCCGTCATCTTGTTCTCTACTTGTGGCTGCCATTCCGCAGTTAGTCAGTCTCACCCCAACAGCCGCTGGTGTTTTTTTAGAGAAGGCGCCATGAATGCAACTGTGGATTTTTTTTGACAATTCAATTTTAGAAATGGCGAGGTGGGGGGGGGGGGGCGGTGGCGCAGTGGTTAACGCACTGCACCGTGCACCCGAGTTCAATTCGCGGCCAATATCGGCGGCGTGTGATATCCGACCTGGCCCTCTGGCTGGCTCATCCGCTGAACGGTGCCTGGATGGGTGAGCACCGTGCATAACAGGTGTTATAGGCTGTCGCTGGGGCTACAGTGCGGTCAACAATGGGCAATGCTTCTATGCGCCAGCATCTACTCTCGCTCTCTCTCCTTCACCCCCCCAGCCCCCCATTGACCGGTGTCGTGAAGCAATCAAACAAATCCATCCCCGCCACTGATGCAGCGTGGAGGAGGGGCACTCATCCAGCAGTGGATTGACAAAGTGTCCGTAAACGATTACCATTCTTTCGAAATTAACGTTAGCCTCGTTAAAAATAATGGTGGGGTCGTTTTGGGGGGGGGGGGTAGTGGGGGGGGGCTTGGCAGAGTTATTTTTTGCTCTGGACCCGCGAATTCCCTTCGCGAAAGAAAGAAAAACACACAAACACACATGGGGGCAGCGTGCGCACTTAAGATGTTGCCCTTTAAACTGCGAACGTCTGCGGCTGCTGCTGCTGCTGCCCTCGCTGCAGACGTCGACGGGAGCCCCGTGACGACGCGACACCCCGTGACACCGCCGCACATTCTCGACGAACCCCCCCCCCCCCCGTTAAAGTGTACCAGCGTGAATTCACGGCCGATTGAGCAATTGACGCGATGAGTCTCGTCGCGTGTTTACTTTAAAGGGAGGGAAGAGAGAGAGAGAGGCGAGAGAGAGCGGCATGGGGGGGGGGATAAATAAATAGCAGCCGGCTAGATTGCTCTCTCGAGGCGAGGAATGTCGATAAACAACAGCGGCTGCTCGAAATGTTGATGGATAAATTGAGGTGGCGGTACGCGCGAGAAGCGGTGCTTGCAGCGATAAGCGGCCCTGCGGTCACAGATGAAGCCAGCAAACCTGAGTTCGATTCCCTGCCACGGCTGCAACCGATTCCATCACATTCCCACCCCCCCCCCCCCGCAACTTCCCACTCTGCCCCCACCGCTTCATCAACTCAACCCGACCAGCGTGGTGAAGTATGGTCGAACAAGTGCCCCGTGATAATTGTTTTTTTTTATCAACTTCAAGGACAGTGAACATTATTGATTGGAACAATCAACTTCAAGGACAGTGCACATTAGTAGAGTTATGTTTTTTGTTTGCATTATGACTGCAGGTATTGTGGTCTATGTAAACATGACTCCTTGTAAAAAAGGTGTCAGTTTTGTTGCCAGATAGAAGGGTAAAAAAACAATTATCATATTTTTACTGGCAAATGATGTTCCAATGGTGTAAGTGCCCCGTGCTTGATGCAGCGTGGGTAGGAATTTTCGCCAAGCAGCGGGTGAACAATTAGCCCGTGGGCCGGAGCAGAAATCGGTGCCGCTTAATGTGGCACAACATTGGCTGTGATCATTCATTTCACACGGCGAATTCGAGTTCATTCTTTTACAACTCCACACATCTTCTTGGTTCTTTCGCTAAAGTCACGTAGAAGCGAAATAATAAAATAATAAAAATGAAACATAATAAAATAATTCTCACGACGTTTCGGCCACAACGCAAGCAGCCATCCTCAGGTGAAGAACAGGTCTGTCGGAAAGACAGCGTCTTCACCTGAGGACGGCTGCTTGCGTTGTGGCCGAAACGTCGTGAGAATTATTTTATTATACTTTATTTAAATTATTTTATTATTTCCCTTCTACGTGACTTTACCGAAAGAACCAAGAAGATGAATCCCTGCAATCACGAAAGCTTTAAATCGAAACTCCACACATGTCAAGCGGTAATCAAATAATTCACCGTTATTGGCCACGTATTGAAATTGTAACGGGGTGTTTTATTTCTCTCTGTGCCCTCCTTTGGCTGCCGCTCCATAGTTAGTCTCACCCCAGAAGCAGTGGCGGTTTTGTAGGGAATGAGTAATTAATGGGAATGTGCCATTAATGGGAATGTGTAATGTATGGGAATAGTCATTATTTGGGAATGAGTAATGGATGGGATTTGTAGTGAATGCAACTGCACAGAGGATTCACAATACAAGGACAATTTAGGAGGACCTTGTAACGGTGGTTCACCTTACCAACATGACACTATGAACCGGCCCCCTGAGTTATATTCCTGGCTGTGGTGACATCAGTGGTGGGTGAACGCTGCCATGCCTACATCACCAACCTGCACTGACCAGCGTATAGCGAAGTGTGGTCAAACAATCCCCACGACTGACATGGCGTGGGTAAGCCCACATTCAGCAGCGATTGAATGTATGTTTTCACGCACATGTATATGCAATGTTGAATTGCGTGCGTATTGTTCTGCAGTTGAATGATTACATCGAGTCTCGCCGTCAAGATTCATTGGGCACAGCGTGTGCTGGCTCTCATGACTTTGCGCATTCCCTTCCCAATTTAGAATTGTGAGAGGGTTATTGGTTATTCACGCGCGCAGTCTATTTTCACATCCGTGATTTCGTCAAAAGCCTCGTGTCGTCTCATATTGGTGGGCGGCACAGATTTACGCGCAACAAGGCGCTGTGAAGGTTTCTATTGCATCACGATGCGATGTATGTATGCCTGTATGTTGAACTTCTTTCGCACCGTGCGTAGCCAACCGTGCCAATCGGAGGTGCGGGGGAAAGACAACAAATTAAACACCAAAAGCCTTTCTAAAGAAATTGGTTTAAATTTTGATGATTTAAAAGTGCGATTAGCTCCAATGGCTTTCTAATATCAGCAGAAAGAGCGTTTCAGATGGCCACAGGAACGCATCTGAAAGTGCGAGATGCGGTCACCTTCTTCTGTGACGACGGCGATGATGATGAGGATGAAGTTGAATGACTGAAAGCTGATGTTTGGGTGACTATGAACGATTGTGATCGAACAACTTTGATCATAAATGATTGAATGATGACGATGACGGCGATGATAGGACCGAATGATGATGATGATGATGATGACTACGGTGATCACTGACCATAATGAAAGTGAATAATTATCATGATTGGATGATGATGATGATGACATTGATGAGGACGACGAGGGCCACCATGACGATGACGAGTCTCTGCCGCCTCTCTCACGTCTGCAGGATTCGCAGGAGGGCGATCGCCTCCCCGCTCGCTCCTCGGCCGCCCTCTCTCCCCCCGAGGCCCGAGTGGCCGTGAACGCGGCGGCGCAGAAGCGGCAGCTCCTCAACCGAGAACTTGGAACCGTCAACTCATCCTCCTCCTCCTCGGTCTTCTCGTCGGCAGCTCATCCATCGCGCCTCTTCGACAACGAAGCAGTGGCGGCGGCGGTGGCGGCGGCAGCAATGTCACGCAACCACGCAACCTCTTCGACCACCACCACAACAACCACCTCCACGGCCTCCATTCTCAACCACGCGGCGTTCAGGCCTCACGGCTCTCCGCGGTCATCGTCGTCGTCACCGCCTCCACCGTCACCGCCGTCGCGCCAAGTCGGCCCCGACTTCCAGCGGGACCCTCGCCTCGACCTCTCCGCCCTGCCGGAGGCGGCGGCGCAGGCGCAGGTGGCGCGCAGGCGCAGATCGCGCAGCTGTGCGCGCGCTACGGCGTCGGCGGCGGCGGGGGTGGCGCGGGTAGCGGCACTGCGGCCCCCGTGTCTCCGCGCCAGGTGTCACGCCTTTACGTGGAGGACCGCTACCGCCTGCTCTACTGCGAGGTGCCCAAGGTGGGCTGCACCAACTGGAAGCGGTTGCTCATGGTGCTGAGCGGAGCGGCGCGCAGGGCCGGGGAGGTGGCACACGACGCGGCGCACTACGCCAACGGCCTGCGGAGGCTCGACAGCTTCGGGCGCGCCGAGATGGAGCGGCGGCTCGCAACTTACACCAAGGTGGGTGGGGGGCGGCGCTCGTGGGGGGCGGGGGGGCGAGAGAAGCGGACGTCGGTCGCGACGAGGCTGTCCGTCTCTCGTGCTGAGATTCTGAAAAGTGACGATTCAATGTTTTCTAATAGGGTTTTCCCATTTTTTCTGGCAACAAAACTGACACCTTTTGCAAGGAATCATGCTTACATTAACCAGAATACTTGCAGTCAAATGCAAAAAAACTCTGATAATTGATGCATTGTCTTTGAAACTGATTTCAAACTGATTTCAAAGACAATGCATACATTATCAGAGTATTGTTTTTTGTTTGCATTTGACTGCAAGTAGTGTGGTTAATGTAAGCATGATTCCTTGCAAAAGGTGTCAGTTTTGTTCCCAGAAAAAGGGGAAACCCCTATTAGTATATTTTGGTACTGGCAAAGGAGGTCCCATGATCAATGTTTTCTGTTTATTTGACCAGGTAAGGCCCACTTAGCTGTGTGGCTCTTTTTCAGGAGCGACCTGGCTCTCACAAATAATAGCTCAACGAAGTGGCTCGTCGCCTGGACAATTTTTGGCAGCCGAATAATGTAAACGCGTGATGTTGATTCTAAATGTTGAGGAGAAAAACTGGAGGACCAGGAGAAAAAAATCCACGTGACCACGGGGAGAGAGACACGCAAACTCCAAAAATGCAGTTTAAGACGTAGGCTTTCGCGACCAATATGACCAAAAAAAAAACCTCTATTATGGTCCAGATATGCAGGCGTCAGGGTCGGGATCGAACCCACAACCTCTTTCATACCAGGCGAGGGAGTTAACATTTCCTAGCCACCGCGGCGCATTTTATTGGGAACGGAACGCAAAAATCTGACAGATTGTATGCGAGGGCCGGTAACTCACTATTTCAAGAGCCGCAAACGCACTGCGTGGTGAACACGAGAAAGGCGGCCCTTACTAAACAACGTCACGGAGCGGTCCTTAAAGAGCCGCACGGCGACTCCGGAGCCGCGGGTTTGCCAACCCCTGGTCTGGACCTTAGCAGCATCCCACACCGGCCAACGAATTGTTTGTTGAGTGACTCACTTCCACGGATACGAACTTTTGGTGATGCTGCTGATGCTGCTGCAGCGATGGCAGCGGTGTGTGCACAAACACCATTCACATTAAACAACTAAAAAGCTCAATACGTCCGTCAATAAGACTGTGTGGCCTTAACGTTGTAAATATATTATAGGCAATGCCCCTTCTTCGAAGCATGTAGAGTGGCCAGATAGAATGGATAATAAGAGTTGGATAACCACATATGAAGTAAATGTGATTGTTGTCGAAGGTGTAATGGCGATTAACTTATTGATCAGCGTTATCGTTGTTGATGCCCTGAATTAATTGTCAATTCATCATTTGCTGCTGCATCTCTTGCCGCCGCTGCTGCTGATGTTGCATCTGCTGCTTCTGGCTCTGCTACTGCTCCTTCTATTTGCGTCTCCTACTGCCGCTTCCACTGCTCCTGGGTCTCATGCTGCTGCTGCTGCTGATGTCGCTTCCGCCGCTTCTGGCTCCTCCGCCGCTGCCGCCGCTTCTCCGCGGCAGGTCCTCTTCGTGCGCGAGCCGCTGGAGCGCCTCGTCTCCGCCTTCCGCGACAAACTCGAGCGCCCCAACCCCTACTACCAGCCGCTGTTCGGCCGCGCCATCCTCGCCCGCTACCGCGCCAACGCGAGCCGCGAGGCCCTGCGCTCGGGCGAGGGCGTGACCTTCCGCGAGTTCCTGCGCTACCTGCTGGACCCGCGGCGCCCCCTCGGCATGGACATCCACTGGGAGGCGGCGACGCGCCTCTGCCACCCGTGCGCCATCTCCTACGACTTCGTGGGCAAATTCGAGGAGCTGGAGGGGGACGCCAACGACCTCCTCCGGGCCGTCGGCGTGCCGGACGACGTCACGTTCCCCGGGGAAGGCGAGGCGCGGGCGGCGCAGGTGCCGGCCGAAGCCGAGGAGGCCGCGGCGTTTCCCCAGACGCCTCCGTCGGGGGAACGCGCGGGCACGGGCGAGCGTGCCGACCGGGACGAGGAACCCGGGAGGGGTTCGACCGCCGGAGACGGAGGCGGGACGGCGACGGTGGCCGCGGGCGAGGACGGCCGGGCGACGGGACGCAGATACCTGTCGGCGCTGTCGAGGCGGGAGAGGCAACGCGCCTACGACTTTTACTACCTGGATTACATCATGTTCAACTACTCCAAGCCGTTCGGCGACATTTACTAGCCCGCGTGGCCTCGCGAGCCACGTGGCCGCAAGCACGCGGCTCGGGCGGATGCGGCGTCGTGCGGCAGTGGGACATCAGCGAGCGCACAGCGGTGGCGGTGACAATTGCGGTTCGGATTTAAGGAGCATTATTGTAGATCTGTATTTAACCGGGATTTCCAAAACACAACAACTCTCGAGATTCACGTCTTCTTACCAAGAAGGCGGCAGTGGGACATCAGTTCCGTATGAACGCAACCGCATGTCAAGAGGCTGTACAAAAATATTATATATATACTGTGTATATATATGAGAACGAGTAGTGAGTCATAGGCAGAAGAGCCAAGCAAGGACTTGAGCCTGGACTTGGAACAGAGGCAGGGGTCGACAGCATGGATTGCTGGGAGGAAGTTTTCGGGCAGGGGGGGGGGGTCCGTGGGGGGGGGGGGGGTGCAGCACAGGAGAAGAAGCGACCTCCCCACTGACGTTGACTACTGGGGCTGTGACAGCAGCAGCAGCAGCCGCCAGTGGATGTACACGTGGCTTGTACGACGAAGATTGACTGGGAGTAGGCGTCAAAATGTGAATCGTTCAACTACGCACTAAGTGTACGTGCGAGGCACTCGATTGCACATTATTTACGAATCTAAAAAGACATCAGGTGTGCTTTAACCCCAACCGGACCGCCTACTGCGGTAAATCTGGTTCGGGGGTTGGGTATCGTCGTCAAAATATAGGCCACCGATGCAAATAGTGCACACCGAGAGAGGAGAGATCCCACCACTCAGAAGGTTTAACGATAGACCTCACGCACGGTTCATTTACACACACACACGCGTGTCACACACACACACACATATACACACTGTGTACAGAGTCTGTGCTTGCGGTGGATTACAAGATTAGCGTCATTGAGTTTTATTGGTTCGAGTCGTTTCTTTATTTCCAGTGTTCCATGTAAGTGCCATTTAAATTAACGTGCGCTAGGGAGATGACGATTTATGCTCCCAATGAAGATGATGATGACAAATGATGATGATCATGATCATCATGACGATGACCTCTGTTTGTCGCGATAATGACCTTTGCTGTTCTCGATGATGGTGATAATGATGGTGATCATGAGTCTGGATATTTACATTTGCTTTTCATTTTGGTGATGACCATCATCATGGTAACAAAGATTATATTTGCCACTCATGATGATCATGATGACAGTGATGAACTTGATGATGATGATGATAATTAATGGTCTTAATGATCGTTATTATGAGGCTCTTGGCTGCTCATGGTGATAATGATCATCATGTTATCACGATTCTCCTATTCACGATGTTGGGTTTTTTTCTGAATGATGATTAACACCTGCGATACTGCAGTTGCATTCATTAAAGCGCTTATACCTGACAGCCACACACACATCTCTTGTTGACTTAACAGCCAATTGTTGACAGTGTAACGTGGCTCGTGTGTAGCCTATAGAAGCAATCCCATGATCAAACAGGGCCGCCCAGATAATCTCACACAATACGGCCTGGGAGACATCTCCAATCGCACGACACAACACCGTCGAGCACCCTCATCACCCCCATCGCCCGAAAATAACTCGTGCGTAAGAATGGACAGCTGTTTTTAACTGGTGTCGCTCTTCAAGGTCATATGCATATGTAGAGGTGTCTGTCTTCTTGGGTTCAAAGTACATTTACCGGGCATTATGATTGCAGTGAAATCATAAGACAACCGAGCCATGCTTGCAGTGATTAGCGCTCACCGCAATGCACCTGGAAACCCGAGTTTGAATCCAGGCCACGGTTCCGTAAGCGAATTACACACGAGCCGGTTTACTCGCGTGGTTCATCAGCAGGGTCAGGCGTGTTAAACGCATACTGATGGTTACCCACAATTGGTGACATCACTCCATCTACACAATGGAAATCATGGTAAATCGACCTCGTAGATTTCCCAGATTTTTCACCGTGAGATGATCAGTGGCATGGACAGGGGAGGGTGTGGGGGGTGCGAAAAATATTTTCCAGAGCTCAGCCCCAGACATCTCCGGCTGAAATAAATAAGGCCTCGGTTTCACCCCATATTTATTGTATTGGGAGTGCACAATTAAAAAAACAATATATACGGCACCGGTTCTTAACGGATCACAGACACACACACTGGTGGAGTGTGTGTGTGACAAGACCTGGTTTGCAAACGTTGTGTTCAGCCCGCCCGTCTTGTTTAATATACATAAGTTACGAAACTACCATACATCATTTAAATAAAGAGATGTTACTTACGTACGGTGTGCTGATCAGTATTGTTCATGTCCGTATGTGCATGTGCTCGAGTGGAAAAACAGAGAGTTCAAGATCATAACTCATGTCAGGTATGATCGGGTGTTTATTTAATAACGTCGGTTATTTATTACCGGTATGCCAAAATAAACCCACACTGTACAATACTGTACGGTACTGCCACACACGATATCATTCCATGATGCCGGTGTATAGGTATTGTTTGGTGGGTTAAAGTGGGGGTTAACATCGCTTTGATAGCTATTAGTCATGTGACATTTGTTTTCTGGAGGGTCCTGCTACGTTTGCCTATTCCATTGATGAGTGCCTGGCTTCGAGTGGGAGGAAACCTGAGATAAATCCACATAATACCAGGCGGTATTAGAAAACGCTTGTGTTGCGCCCGAAACGTCGTGATTTCTTTTATTTTCTACCTACGTGACTTTACCGAAAGAACCAAAGAGTATGGATTCCTGCAGTCACGAAAGCTTCAAATCAAGATAGATTGAATAATTGAATTGCTGTACTGGTCACCGTGCAGTTCAGAATATTTACTTATATGAGAATCATAATATGTATTTATACTGGAGGAATCCGATGAGCTATGAAGCTCTTTTCACAGATGTCCAGTCGAGGCGGGTAAAAACGTTACAACAAACAATACAAAAACATGACAATAGTACAACGTACAATAAAGGTGAACAAATCACCCCAAACACACACAAATCGAACGAAACCATCCCCATCCTACCAGACAAAGCCCACTGAAATATTAACTTATTTTAAAAAAAAGCGACATGGCCACAAATGACAGCTCAAAAAAGTGGTTTATCATTTGGACATTAACAACAGAAAAATTATCTAAATAGTTCAAGCGTAAATACAACGCCTGATATTTTCAGGCAGTCTCACATGCAATTAAAAACCAGGCTCAAAACCTGCTTATCTTCTGAGGTCCGTTCAGATCGAACAACTCCGGGGTGAATTGGTCGTGTGCTGTTACCATTTCGTAATAGTCTCGAGGTCCCACATTCTTGTCACGTGAGCACTACATTCTGTTTGTGAGGGCTCCTCAATAAAACGACTGCATTGCCACTAAAAAGCCTCTTGTTGGAAAAGTACAGGATGCCTTCTCTTGGCTAATCTCTCGTTGTAGTTTCTGGAGGGTCAAGGACAGCTAACGAATGTCAGGGCCGACGGCTTTACCTCTAATGGAATAAATTGCGCCCATTGACTCCGACCATTCATTTGGAACAAGGTGGGATTAAAATCTTCAGCTCAAAAAAATACAACCCTGTGGCCAAACGCACATTAGGACGGCGCGGGCAACACGACACGGCGGTGAAAGTTTTGTGCGAGCGTGGGAGCCGTGAGCAGAAGGTGGCTTTTGCTCTGCGAGCTTTAAACTAAAAAAATTCCACAGCTCCGCCGTCTCTGAAGCGTGCGGAGTTACGATTTCTCGGGTCCGTTCCAACGTGCTATCCCCTTCTGATACGAATTTACAGATAAGTCACATTGCACGCGGTTACCGATGCGATCGGCGACTACCGCGTATTGAGCACGGATAATGTTGTTCAGTCCAGAGTGAGAGAGAGAGAAAACCCCAGGGGCAGTGCCGCAGCAGTTAGCGAATTGCGTAAATGAACCCAGCCACGTTCAGTTTGATTCCCAGCTGCCGCGGCCAATTTAGATTAACAAGTAGGGTGGACATGGATGTTTGGTGTTCGTGCTTTGTTATGACGCAGAGACTCTCACGACGGCTTCATGATTATGTTTTGTAAACATTAATAATAATAATTCAAATGTATAATGCGCATTCCACCATTATGATCCCAATGTGCAATGTTTAAAAAGCAGGAAACAACAGAACCAGGGCAACCGACCAAAGTCAAGGGGGAAGGCTCCGTTTAAGGAGATGGGGTTTTCAAAGCTGACTTGAATCTATCTACCGACTCCAATTGCCCGATTTCAAGTGGCAAGGCGTTCCATAGTTGGATGCCTCGCTAATTAAAGCCTGATCACCAAAAGAGCGCAACCTAAACCCGGGAGTGCTGAGAATTTCCGTCGTGAGCCAAAACCAGGAGGCAAGCGATATTGGAACCTGCTCGGACCCAATTACACGGGGAGGGACTTAATACAGCAGCGGATTAACAAAGAACTTTGAAGCATATCTTGAAAAATGTACGATTAAATATGTATATATCCCCAATGACTGAATTGTATTCTCAATCTAAATCCAGTGTTTGTTTGAAATCCAGCCCGGCATTTTTGTTGGTGCGTGGGCTTTTGCAATTCCCACGGTTAGGTGAGAATAAGGAGTCAAATTTCGATTTAAAGCTTTCGTGACTGCAGGGATTCATCTTCTTGGTTCTTTCGGTAAAGTCACGTAGAAGGGAAGTAATAAAATAATAAAAATAAAACATAATAAAACAATTCTCATGACGTTTCGGCCACAACGCAAGCAGCCGTCCTCAGGTGAAAACCAGGTCCGTCGAGGCGACAGAGTCTGAATGAAACAGCACACGGGCTTAGAGCATATATATAAGCTGGGCGCATTGACAAAGGAATTTGCATATCAACAGGAATTTAGCATATTTATGGGAAATGCAGGAATGTAATTAGTACTGCATATGCATGTGCATTATGCAGGATTAACAGCATCAAAGGGAGCTGCAGTTACTGCTGCTGCAGCAGTTGCTGCTGCTGCTGCAGTTTCTGCTGCTGCTGCAGTTGCTGCTGCTGCTGCAGTTGCTGCTGCTGCTGCACTTGCTGCTGCTGCTGCACTTGCTGCTGCTGCTGCACTTGCTGCTGCTGCTGCGCTTGCTGCTGCTGCTGCGCTTGCTGCTGCTGCTGCACTTGCTGCTGCTGCTGCTGCACTTGCTGCTGCTGCTGCACTTGCTGCTGCTGCTGCACTTGCTGCTGCACTTGCTGCTGCTGCTGCAGTTGCTGCCTTATCCATTTTAATATAACACTATGTATTATTCTACCCACCCTAATGTGTATCATACTGCTATATGTACAGCAACTGCTGCAGCAGCAGTAACTGCAGCTCCCTTTGATGCTGTTAATCCTGCATAATGCACATGCATATGCAGTACTAATTACATTCCTACATTT